CACAGCCTGGGCTGTTACCTTTTGAGGTATCTGGCGTCCTCCCCTTGCATGGCGGCGGCTGAGAGGTCAGCGGGCTACTTCCGGGGATGCGGGTCAAGCACCTTCACCTAAGGTGACTACACTCCGGAGGCCAGAGAGGCTGGGCAGCGGCTGGGCAGTGGTTCCCACCGTAAGGGAGAAGCTCCTCCTACAGCTAACGTCCCCAACGGCCGCCCCGAGCGCCCCAGCGGCTCCTGCCAGGCCGTTCAGAGGCGCATGCGCACGCCCTACAGAACCCGGATGCGCAGGCGTACTTGGTGGTCTTGGGTCCTGCGACTAATCTGGCGCACCCCGGAGAAGCGTTTGAAGGTTTTGGTTTTGGTCTGAAAATGCGTTCAAATCAAAGAGCGGCTCTCTGGATACTGCCCCCTTGAGGATGGGAATAGGTAGGGCAGTAATAGTCTGCAGAATTGGAATTTCAAGTCCTTAGCGGAAAATAGGGAAAGAAGTCAGTAAATTTTTAACTAACAAATGCTGTCGAGCAGTCTAGCCTAGGGCTGATGACCTGTAAGGTGAGGTTTCTGTAGTGCAGCACGATGAAAAAGGTTTTGGGCTGGGTAGCTCTACCTTGTGGAGATAATCTGACCTTGCTGTAAGATGCACATGGGATCAACTTTGAACACAGATCTGTCATTTCCAGAAGTTCGGTTTGGTATCAGTTTGCAAAATGAATATTTGAGAAAACAGAAAATAGGAAGTCCAGCTCAGAAAGAATTGTCATATTACAAATATAAAATGATTAGATTAGCAGGCAGAAGGCAGAATGGGGCAGAAAAACTGGTTTGTGGGAATACCTTGAAATGCAGATACATTTCTGCTATCCCTCCCTGCAAGAAAGCAGCTCTGAAAATTCTAATTCCTTCACTATTCTCTACTCAGGTACTTTTAGAATTCTTTCTTCTGAGGTGGGCAGTTGTTGGCCGTGCAGGGCAGAGGGAAGAATCCCTGCTCACGTTTCTTGTTTTTGTGGTACTGGGATTTGAACCTGGGGTCTTCGCACTGAGCTACATCTCCATCCCACCCCTTTTTGAGACGAGGTCTCACCAAATTGCCCAGGCTGTGCCGTAACTTGTAGCCTTCTGCCTCCGCCTCCAAGAGCATCGGGATTATAACAAGCTCTAGGTGAAGGGCTCATCCTTGGCTGTAACATTTACATAGGCTCAGCTATCATATTCATGCAATGTCCTTTTAATGGATAAATATGTTGAGTTGGCATTGTACCAAGTGCCAAACCAGACTTTAAGGATACAAAGAAAACACCTTTCTCTTCACCTCTAAAATGTTACTTATGTACTGCGATCTAATTCTATGGTTTCAGACCTGGAGACACATATGTAGGTGCTCTGCCACCTTTCTTCTAATGTATTGATGGGTTACTGATTGTCGCAAGCTGCGACGTCAGGATCCTGCCAGCAGGTCCTAAACCTGAAAGGACGAGGACAGAGAGACGGGAGGAACTTATTTTCTCATGTTACTTGCTACTACTTTATTACCGAACCTCTCCTTTTATACTCTCCAGCTGCGCGGCTGTTAGAGAGCTCCGCCCACACATTCCAGAAGGAAACCGTTAAACCGTTACATTTGCACCAGTAAACCGTTCAACAGATCAGACCACCAGTAAACCGTTCAACAGATCAGACCACCAGTTGAACTAGCCCGTTACTATGGGCGACGGCACGTCCACACTGCTCAGGTGAATCACAGGTCAATATGGCTGTGCTCTCCATAATTCCCTCATTTCTCTTATGTCAGTGAGCCTCTGCAGAGGGTGCCAGACATATGTCAAAGAGCTCCTGTCTTAGGTGGCAGGGATATCCTTTCTCCTTACCCGTCATCAGCGAAGAGGGCTTATGTCCCTCTTGCCTGTCTTAGGTTGGTAGAAAGGAGGCCCCGACCTTACCCATCTCTGGATGCTCCACGGAGAGGGAATTATGTACGGCGGGCTTGTGCCAAATAGATGGCCACCCGAGATGCATCATCCTCTACTGAAGCTTGTACAGCCATAGCAAGTTGTTCATGACGAAACACAAAAGATTGATACATTCTTGTCATCTTGTGATATATATAACAACCACGAATACAAAGAACCATCAAAATTACAATGATAGTACTGAAATGTTGGTTTGAGGAAAACATGAATCTGTCTAACAAAGTCCTACAGACAAGCTTAAGTCCATGGAATATTCGAGTGACCAGTCTAAAAACTTTTGAGATGTCTCATTAAATCACCAGTCCCATTAAATCCTTGTTCTGGACAATAAAGTTTCTGCTTGTGCACCAAGACACATCCTGGAGTTTTCTTTGCTGCTTCAGTGTTGGGGTCCCAGTCCAGTCTCCTCAGTGGAAACCCAGATTCAAGCTGTTCAGGGATAGTGGTGGGTCTATAAATGTACCTGTAACCATAAGTAGGTGGAGCAGAAGAGAGGAGAATACCTAGACCAAAAGGTTATCATAAACAATATGCTGGAAAACCTGCATGGTCAAACAACATGAATACATTTTGCATACCAGATATGAATTCTTATGTCCTGAAATGTAGCTTTGTATCAACAGGATCTTCCCTTTTTTTTCAGAAAATATTATATTTTGAAGATAGCCATCACAAACATGTTACAATAACATATTTTTAACAACATATTTAACAAAGCATATCTTTTTTATAAGGCTATGAAAATTATTTTGGTGGCTCCCATTAGTGAACAAAGATCAGAATAAATTTTCTGAGCAGCTGCTTCTTTATTTACCAACAGGAGCGTATCCAAACTTAAATGTTATATTTAATTATCCTTTAAGTTTTTTATTTGATCCTATAAAGCCAGGTTGTAGAAATCAACAATCCACTTGCATATGACATCATTCTGATCAAGAACATACAAAAATCTTTAAACACTTAAGACAGACAAACATATAACACTTAAGACAGACAAACATATAAGACAATTTTAACGAGTGCACTCAGATGGTTTTGGCCAATTGAATTATAAAATCTTTTTGTTATGACTAGTCAAAATTTTTGCAGATCAAAATTAACAGAGATCTCTTGTAGAATTAGGGTTAAAGGAATGAAAGCTCTTCTTGACTGTAAATGTAAACCTTTTCATATGATTTCCACACACCTTCTCTATATACTTAGGTCTTCTGGTCTTGTATATCTTTCTTTACCTGTTTTTAACAAGATGCAAAAGCATAACTCTTACTTATAGCTTTCCTAATATTTTTCTGTCTCATTTACTATTAACCTTCTATTTGTGGATGTAAAAAATAATCATTTACTATGATAGGCAAAGTATGAAAAAGCACATAAGATGGAAAAGCAGGAAGAATTAGCTCTTAGGAGGAGCCTTCACAATCTTTATCTTTAAGGGATTAACAGAGTCTGTAATGACGTCCCACGAAGTAACACCGGAGGATTGTCTTTGGTCCTTTTCACAGCTTGCGTTAATCTGTTTGATAAAATGATCCGGGATCCACCGTGGTTGATCAGTGTCATGTGGAAAGGCACAAGCAAAACCTCTCCCCCAGTGAAGTAGGGGGTTAGGCCCTCTCCATTGTCCTGTAAGGACATCTTTCCAAAGCACTTGTGCTTTTCGAGATTGATATGATCCCCAGTGGCGGGTTGCTCGAGTGTTACCCGCATCATCCAAAAGAAGGAAATTTATAACAAATAAGGCATGATATAATCTATGCATGGGTGAATAGCTGCCAGAGAGGGGATTCCCCCCTAACTTTTCTAAGGTAATTTTTAAGCTACGGTGGGAACGTTCAACCAAAGCTTGTCCCTGAGGATTATAGGGAATTCCAGTGGAATGTGAAATCTGCAATGTGGAGAGGAAAGTGTGGAAGCCAGCGCTAGAATATGCTGGTCCATTATCCGTCTTAATGGCATGAGGCTTGCCCATATAGGCAAAGGCATGAAGCAAATGTGCAATAACATCTTTGAGGGCTTCTCCTGTTCTGGGAGTGGCACAAATCATTCCCGAAAAGGTATCCACTGTTACATGGAGAAACTTGGAACGGCCAAAAATGGGGCAGTGCGTTACGTCCATTTGCCATAGGGCATTGGCTCAAAGGCCATGAGAATTGACCCCAAGGAAGGGACAGGTAAATGTACTACACAATTTAAGCATTCTTTAACTATGGTTCAGGCTTGTTCTCTGGTGATTTGAAACATTTTCCTTATTGTTTGGGCATTAACATGATGTAGGCTATGAAATTGGGCCGCTGCTTTTAGGGGCGGATTGATAAGGTTCACAGGGAACACACTTGTGAGTGCATCTGCCCTTGCATTTCCTTCAGCAAGGGGTCCAGGAAGCCCCAAATGTGCCCGTAGATGATGAATAGAAAAGGGGGTGGAGCGCCAACGAATGCAATTTTATAGGCCTTCAAACAATGTTAAAAGATCTTCTTTTGCTAAAATTTTTCCTGCCGTCTCTAACTTAGGCACAGCTTAGGATACATAGATGCTATCTGTATAGATATTTATGGGTTGAGAATAGCGGGTTAATGCTAAAAGGACTGCAGTGCCCGTAGATGATGAATAGAAAAGGGGGTGGAGCGCCAACGAATGCAATTTTATAGGCCTTCAAACAATGTTAAAAGATCTTCTTTTGCTAAAATTTTTCCTGCCGTCTCTAACTTAGGCACAGCTTAGGATACATAGATGCTATCTGTATAGATATTTATGGGTTGAGAATAGCGGGTTAATGCTAAAAGGACTGCACAATTCAACCATTTGTGCAGAAGCATAAGGTACCTTAACTGCCCATGCCTCATGAGGTGAAACTATTGCAGCTGTTCCTTTACGGGAGCCATCTGTGAAGACTGTAAGGGCTCCTTTAATTATCTTAAGAGAAGTCCATAGGGGGAAAACGAACCTATGCCTAGTTGCAAACTGTATGAGTTTGTCTGATGGAGGATGATTATCAATGTCACCTGAAAAATCTAGGAAGCTAAGGAACCAGGAGGTGCTAGTCTGGTCCAAGTACGATCTTTGGTTTTTATCATAGGGAATTACAATCCTGTCGGGCTCTTTACCAAAGATGGTGACAGCGGCCTTCCTTCATTTCCAAAAAATTAAAAATAAATGTGAATAATTTAAAAACTCTCCACGATCTTCAGACTCTTTTGGGAGATATTAATTGGTTGCATCCTTATTTAAAGATTTCTACTCATCAGTTGTCTCCTTTATTCCAACTGTTAGAGGGGGATGTGAGCCCTCTTTCCCCCAGGACTCTAACTGAGGAAGCCCGTTTTGCTCTAAAAATAGTGGAACAAGCCATAGAGGAACAATTCATATCTTATTATGAACCAGGACTCCCGCTTCTCCTAATTATTTGTGAATCCCCTGATTGGCCTACGGGAGTATTAATGCAAAAAAGACCTCTTTATTGGATTCATCTACCTCATGCTCACTTAAAAGTCATCAAACAGCTAGAGAGTATAAAAGGAGAGGTTCGGTAATAAAGCAAGCAGCAAGTAACATGAGAAGATAAGTGCCTCCCGTCTCTCTGTCCTCGTCCTTTCAGGTTTAGGACCTGCTGGCAGTATCCTGACGTCGCGGCTTGCGACAACTGATTATCCTTTATACCATGTTAATATTCTGTATGGAATATTATATATAGAGATAGAGTCTGTAACCCTCCAAAAGACCTGACTTTTATGGGCCCACCCATTCACACTTGCTGTATCATTTCTATCAATATTGTAGTCCTTCTTTCAGTCTACCAGGGAAGAAATTTGGGGCCAACTTAGATGACCTCAATATCGTGCCTTCTTATTAAACTGTTACAAAATTCAATTTTAATCTCCCTCAAGACATTCCTACAAGCCAACTTTTTTTCTCTATCCTGCCTTCTGCTACTGAAACAACTTTATATCTGGAATTCTGGAATTCTTTTCACCCTAGACTTCCTATTTTCCATGTGTTCTCAAGTATTGATTCTGCAAACTGATACAAAATACTATCATTCTTGATACCTTTAAAAGTAATATAACAGGCGCAATTACTTTAA